AGGGCAGTCTTGACATCGTCCAAACCTTGACTGGAAACAAACTGCCAGCAATCTGGAACGAACTCTGACAACGGTTGTACAAGGACTGAACAGCCCTTATCACCTTACTCCCATAGCATCCCCCACCGACATCTTCTCCAGGTTCACAAAATGTAGACTGGTAAGGTGATCTCCCAATCAACCTCCAGGGTCCTGCTGAGGGTGTAGCACTGTTTCACTGTTCCACGGGTTCCAGGACAACCCCCCGCCCCAAAAAAAATAAAAATAAACAAACAAAAAACTGTTCCTGCCAAATCTGAGAGATTCAATCTCCCAACTGACCTTCCTCTCCAGAACCCTTGAATAGACCTCACCAGGAAGGATGAGAAGTTTAATCCTTCTCTAGTTGGAGCACACCTTTCGGTCACTCTTTTTGAAAAGGAAGACCGCCACCCCAATCCGCAGATGGCCTGTCCCTGATGTCCCCACAATGTTGCAGTGGTGTGTCATCCAGGACAGCCTCAAAAACATCCAGAGTTTTTAGGAGCTGCAGGGGGATCACATCCACCCCCAAGGCCCTTCCACCAAGGAGCTTTTGAACCACAGTTCAGGAGAGATTGCCCCGTTCAGCACCCAGATAGCTTCAACTGGTGCTGGTGGTGCCAGGAAGCGGAGGCTCCTTGAATAAAGGTGAGCTAAGGTAACGGAAATTGATTTACGTTCCATGAGTAGCCTGATGAAGCTCTGAGAGCTGAGAGACGAAACACGTTGTATGTTGGATAAATTTGCACACCTTTAAACAGCGTGCTTCGTCAAAGAGCTTTTTAACCAACTCATTGATCTCAACCCCAGACATAGGAGAGCGTACCTCAGAGTCCCCAGACTCTGCTTCCTCAAAGGAAGGCGTTTGGGTAGAATTGAGGAGGTCTTTGACGTATTCTCTCCACTGACTCAGATGGTTTGAGTCAAGGTCAGTGGTGTGGCATTCCTACTAGTCTTGATGATACATCGCTTCCCCTCTCGATATGCCGAATGGTCGACCAAAATTTCTTTGAAGCCATTCAGAAGTCATTCTCCATGGCCAGACGGCCACATTTTGACATCACCATCAGCTTTATATCATCCAGAGTCTCACTGGCCAAAAAAACCCAATAGGACTCTTTCTTCAGTTTCACGTCATTATTCAACGCCGGTGTCCACCAACAGCTTCGGGAGTTGCTGACATGACCTGCGCCGACTATCTTAGGGCCACAGCCCCAGTCAGCCGTCTCACTGGAAGCACAGAACATGGTCCCATGGGGGACTTGGTAAAAGTTCTGCCGGAGGTGGGAGCTGAAACTCCTTCCGGCACCAGACTCTGCCACACGTAACCAGCAGACATTCGATGTGTATGGGTCTGCCCAGTCAGACCGGCATCTTCGCCCATCGGAGCCAACACACCACCGGGTAGTCATTGACATACAGAATCAAATTTCTTCGAATCCGCAGGTCAATCAACTCCCTTGTTTTTGCCTTCATGGTCCCGGCAATCAAAGTCCCTACTTTAGGTTTTAGGTTCTGTGCTTTCCTCTTGGCTGTCTGCCTTCTTCTCTTTCTGCCTATGGACATGCTTTCCTGCAGTCTTTTGTCTTTGACCCACAAAATCTGAATTTCCACCGGCATTCCGTGGGTTAACGGCACAGGTGGCCGATCCGGTATGAAATTCTTGGGGTGAATGCTCGCAACTGTTTGGCAAAGTTTGAAGTTGGTTGCAAATCCTGATGCCAACCACTGAATTTGTCCAGGCTTGGGACCGGCCTAGCACTGGCTTGTGCCCCCTTCGGGCTGCATTTATAATGAAGTATTAGTCATCATGCTAATGACATTATCAGTGATAACATTAATTGTAATATTTGTGTGTTCAAGCTGTTATTCGGATTTAAATCAATGATACGTTAGTGCTAATGATGGCACCATCATATATATTGACGGTATAGATAGATAGATAGACAGATAGATAGATAGATAGATAGATAGATAGATAGATAGATAGATAGATAGATAGATAGATAGATAGATAAATAGACAGACAGACTTACTTTTGTGGTTGTGCTGCATGTCTTCTGGTGGTCCGCTTCAAGTGTTCATATTGGTCCCATCTTCATGGCTCCTCACCAAACAAACAAACAAAACTTTGCATGCTGGCCCGGTCCACTTGGTCGAGTTGCCCCAGCTGCTCCTCACTCACAGCAGGTTCATCTGATGCGCTCAATTTTTTTCTTTTCTGTGACGAAGCCGAGGGATGTGAAAAGAGGGCGAGAGGCTGAGAGAAATTCAGCTCGGCTTCACTAATCTGAATCTCTTCATCTCTCCTCCTCTTCCTCTCCTCTGCTCATCTCTCTCAGTCCCTCGATCTCTCTCTTCCTCTGCCCTCCTCCTCCCGCCCCAATTGGAGATTAAATAGGAAAGGGGCTCAGTGTGTTAAAGGGAAGGACGGCTGCAAATAAATTAAAGGCACTGAGAGAATAGAAATATATCCCCCCTCCAAAAAGAAAATCTAAGATTATAACTGACATGTAAACACGCTCACACATGCCATGTGAACACAATCACATATGATACATAACACTCACACATGACATCTAAATACAATTTCCCACGGCATGAGCACAATCACTTGTGAATTTTTAAAACACCTGGCATCAACATAACACCTGCCATGTAATTAGCATGACACCTGGACGCAATAACAAGCACACTTGACACGACCACCACCACATTACACGTGAACACAATCACATTGAACACAAAAAAAAAAAAAAAAAAAGCAATGACATTAACACGAGCATACCTGACAAGTGGACGCTGCACCTGGCATTTACACAACAGAAACCTGCCATGTAATACCGCCCACACCGAACATGAACACAATCAAACTTGACTCGGAAACATAATCCCACTTGACGTGAACACAATCACAATCAATGAATTACCGGCTATGAATACGATTGTGTTCACTGACAGGCAGCAATTGCTATTTCGAACGTAGCCCGATGGCGTCGCGGTGGTGCCGACGGGACTTGAACACACTTGAGGTGAAATTGAGGATGAACTCACGTCCACCTTCACCACCTCCCGCTGTCCTCTCCTCTTTACCTTTGTCCTTCAGCACCTCTTCCTTTGTATTGTGTGTTTTGTACGATAGTCTTTGTGAGGTTCGTGTCACGAGATAATCCCAGATTTACCTCTTTTCCTGTTTGTCAGGCATTTTGTCTTCATCGTTTGTGCTGTCGCTAAACTTGCGTTGTATGTGTGCGTGTCAATGTTTGGGTGATTTATTTAAACAAAATAGATGATTTATAACAAACAATCTCATAACACGGACGACAGCTCTAAAGAGACGCCTACAATAGATTAATAATAACTCATGTTTGAAATACGTATGTGAAAAATATAAAGTAAATGCAGAAATAAATAAAGAGTTTTTCAATAAGAAATGTAAAACGTTGAGGTGATTAACCAACTGCCTTCAAATCGTATTTATAAACGTGGTTTTCTTTCTATTTTCAAGTATGACCAGGTATTCTTAGAGTAAGATTAATTCAACCGGGTGGGGGAAAAGATTGGCACTTTTTCTATGTTTCTGAAATGTCACAAATAAAATTAAATCACTCACGACAACTCTTGAACATTTGTAAGATTTCTCGTCACTGGAACAACCTGACGCCCGGGTTAGTCTTGACATAATCAATGGGGCTCTGCTGCCTCCTGCCGTGCAGGAGAGTAACCGCAGCCTACGTGCTCGTGAACAGATGGTGACTGGGGAGGTGAAGATGCTGACAGAGCAAATGTCAAAGCATTGTAACGGAAATAATACACATATAACATACAGTAGGCAAATACAACGGATTGCTCATAAGTCAATTTCGGGGCATCGAGAATATAGACAAACAATGGACTGGGCGCCAGGCAACAATCAAGGAGGACGACAGAGGGGATGGCACTCCTCACGCTCCCTGGTAAGGTCGAAGGTGCTGGAGAGAAGGGTCTGCCGGGAAGTCGGGTCTCAGACTCAGGAGGAGCAGTGTGATTTTTGTCCCGGCTGTGGAACAGTGGACCAGCTCTACACCTTTGGCAGGGTTGTCGAGGGTGCACGGGAGGAAATATATCTATATTTATATTGAACTTAATTGAACTGTGTATATAAAAACTGAAACATTTATTTTGTGAATGCAAACACTTTGTTTTTCTTCTTTCTTCTTTCTACCCCCAATTTTGCTGCTGTAGACTGTAAATTTCCCCAGTGTGGGACAAATAAAGGATATCTTATCTTATCTTATCTTATCTTATTTAACCCAGGCATGTCCAGCTGTGTAACGGCTGAAGCTTTCGATTGACCAGTGGATCCACGTTCCTCCCCTCACCTCATGAACTGTGGGTCATGTTCGAAAGAATAAGATCCTGGCTACAATCGGCCAAATGAGTTTTCACCGCAGGGTGTCTGGACTCTCCCTTAGAGATCAGGTGAGAAGCTCGGTCATCCGGGAGGGGCTCAGAGTCGAGCTGCGGCTCCTTGGCTTTGAGAGGAGCCAGATGACGCCTCCTGGATGCGAGACGTGAGAGCATTTCAGGTGTGTGTTTTGCAGTATGTGTGAACAAAAAAAAAAACTGGCTATTTGAGAATATCCGTCAGCAGTGTGACAGTTCCAGCTGGGTGTGTTTTAGTGGTGCGTGGGGGGGGCTGTACCGAGAGCATTTTAATTGTGTGCGTGAGTATCTTTTAGTAGGGTGCATATGTGAACGAAAAAAAAAGAGGCTGTGAGCAAACAAAACCTCTCGTGTGTGAGATTTCATTAGGGTGCGACAGATTAACATTTAGCGTGGGAGAGAAAAAAAAACAACTGCGCGTGTGCATGGATAAGGAGCGTGAGAGAGAGCAATCTCAGTTGCGCGTTTGAGTGTGTTTCACGTCCGACTTTCTTTCCAAGTTTCCTCCTGCCACGGGCAACGCCCCCTCCCGACCCTCCACGCGCTTGTACGCTTGCCACGTTCGCGCACGCGCCTGAGAGCGAGAGTGAGCGTCAGAGAGTGGGGGAGAGCGAGAGCGAGAGAGGACGGTGGAGCCAACACTCACACACTCGGGCGAGCGTTTCACCTCACCCTCTCCCCGCTTTGCATCCTCACCTGCAGTGACCGTCGGGCACGCGCCTTCCCGACGTCCCCACCGCACGCGCGTATGCACCTCGCAGCAGCCTTCGGCGAGGCGTCGAGCGGCTCCGAGCCGGGATAGCGACACCGCGACGCGGCCACACGAGCATGACGGTAAACGTGCGCCGTTCTCTGCGTCTGCGTGCGCGGGAGGACGATTTGACCCGTGAAAAACGAACCGCTACGCGTACGGGGTCGTGCACGTAAGCGCGCGCGCGCGCGAGCGAGTTGCGGGTCAAAACGACGCTGTCAGCACATTGTCAGGCAGGCGCGCGCAAAGGGGGCGAGCTCACTATTGCGGGTTGTGTGCGTGCGCGTGCGCGTCACTCCTCGGCAGCCACCACCAGTCCTGCTGTGCGCGCGCGCACGCGCCCGACACGCTTCTTTTGTGAGCATTTGATGACTTGTGACGCTTTTACAGTGTTCCTGTTGAATATTAGATCGGTGTTGATGCAAAGCTAACAGCAGACTGGACCCAATCAGCTTTTTACCTCTTTTGGGTTCAGGCGCTGCGGTGACGTCACTGTGGGGAAAATGACATCATAGAATTAGTCAACCATTAACTCAGAGTGAAAACAGTTTTATGCTAACACCAGCCATGCTAACTAGCCACTGTGGTGGTTAGCCCGTTTGTCGACTTCAGCTATTGGACTTGATAGAAAGAAACAATTGCAATGAGTGGGTCACGTGACGCTCCTTGGGTGCAACAGCAATGAGATCGATGGATAGCGCATATAGCACATTTGCTTTGTTTAGCGTACGCGCACATTCCTTTCATCACACCTTAAACACTGAAATGCGACCTTTGACCACCTCTATGAAGGAGGGAGGGCCGAGTGACAACCACGGTTGTGGGGACACACACACACACACACACGCAGATACACAACAAGTGACAACTCGAAGAACCGAGCACAACACAACACGCTATACAGGTAACACACACGGGAAGACACTTCTCCTAGGATGCGTTTTTCTTTTTTTTTTTGCCTAGTTAGCATGTTAGCAGGTGTGTAAATAAAAGAGTCCAGTCAAATTGAGTGTGTGTGTGCATGAAAGGCGAGATAAAGAGTGTCCACACCATAGACAAACTAATCTAAACTAATGCAAGTAAATGGCTGAACACAAAGCTGGAGTGTGTCTTTCACAAGGATATTTGGGAATTAGATATGAACCAAAAATACGTCCCTTTTAATCTGATGATTATAAAAGTTTACTGCTTGTAATGTTTAGGATTTAGGTACACACCAAACCAATGAGAGAAGGCTCTAGTTCAAGTGTCAAGTGAAGGTCCTAGTCTCGAGAGAAAGTGGCAATCCCCTGAGGTTTTAGTCCTCAAAGAAGATTCTAGTCTTGAGAATAACGGGGCAAGCCGAAAGGAAAAGAAAGAGAAGATGCAGATTGAAATTTCACCGGTAAACGATGATACGTGAATGACCTTGACTGACTTCTTGTTTTCAGCTCGGCCGCCATGTCTAAAAACGCGGTAAAGAAGCTGCACTGGCGCTCCAAGGTATGCGCCACAACAAGCTAACGTTACCACGTTAGCTTGTTGTCTTTATTATGGCATCCGTCCGTCCTCTCTGCGCAGGTGCAGGAGGGCTTCGTGCCGCTGGGCGGAAGCTCCGGCGAGCTGGGGCTGGCCATCGGTGGCGGCGCCGACTATGGCGAGTTTCCTTTTGTGACCGTGGCGCCTGGCGGCGGCGCCAGTGTGGGCGACATCATTCTAGAGATCGGCGGCACGCCCGTGTTGGGCATGACGTTGGGCGACGTCCGGGGGGTCCTCAACTCCTGTCCTCACCCCATCAGGATCAAAACCGTTTCACCAGGTGACCTGCCTGAATTGTATGTCAACCTTTTGCCATTAGAGCGGAAAAACATGAAACAACATTTGGAACAATCTTTTGACTCTATGATTTGAGACTGTCCCTAAAGTCAACACCTGACTCGGTAAGATGGATGGATGGACCGATTGACAGACCACCACTAAGATCCAAAATTCCACTTGAACAAAAACAAGCTAGCTAGCTACCAAGTTTGCTAGCTAGAGACATCGCTAAAAATAGATTTGAAAAGATTGATTTTAAAAATTGGTTATGAATGGGTAACCGCCATGATTTTGACTGTGACATTGTTGTTGTGTGTGTGTGTGTGTGTGTGTGTGTGTGTGTGTGTGTGTGTGTGTGTGTGTGTGTGTGTGTGTGTTTCTAATTCACAGGTGCGTCTTTGTGTAAAGACCTACGCCTGTACCTCAGTAAATGTTTCACACCAACCTCCATGGACAGTCAGTTGCAGCAGCTGATCCGAGAGAACCTTTATCTGCGCGCCGTGCCC